CCTGATCACTGACCCGCTTTCCTCTCTTCATCTCCCTTCCTTCCTTCAAATTACACCGGCCAAGGAACACTCATTTACAGTGAAGACACTTACGTTGTTTCCGAGATGTGGAAAAAACTAGGAGAAAAACATGAAATCCCAGAAGCATAAACCATGTACCTAGCCAGGTACGAAAGCAGGTGTTTTCTGCCCTTTTTCAGAGCAACTAGTTGCAGCACAGTCTCTCCTGGGCACTCTAGTTTTAGAATCAGGCTATTTTATCTCTTTCTGATATTTTTCTAATGATTGCGAAGAACTCCCACATTCTGGTCAGTGCTATCAGGTTGCTACCAGAAAGTAAAATGCCGTGTCATGTGTTTGTGACAGGTTAGCCCAACCAAAAAGAGAGTTCGTAATTACACAAGCACAAGCTTGCTTAAAAGGCAGAGTAGCTTCTGCTTAATTGTAAATGAAGTGGCAGATACAGCTTCCCTCCTGTTCCTGGTGTTGCAGATGTACAAAGCTTCACGCGCAGCGTAGTTAACACAGCAGACCTGCCTCTTAGACTAGGGTATTTTCTGCGTCATCATCCTGCTGTGAGCTCAGCGTCAGGTAGACGTATCCAAACTAGCTTTAAACGACCTTTCAGAAGTTGCAGTGGAACCACTACAGAACGGAGCTCGACACGGGCTGATTGCCTGGGTGCTTGTCCTGCTCTCTCGACAGCTTTTGCAGCTGTGAGTTTTTTGCTATGGCTTTAAATGAGCTCACTAGCTGGCTACAACATAAGCAAGCTGCTGAGACAGAAGTGCCGTGAAGGTCCCTTGCAACCAGCACGGTTCAGATAATAACTTGCAAAGCCTAGATTTAAAGAGGAAAGTGCTATTAGGACCGGTGTATTGAACACAAGAGATCTATCACTAGTTTCAGTATGCCAGATCTGAATTTGCCACCCTACGTGCTTTGGTTCTCATGAAGTCCTATTTATTTCATGGGAAATTTGCTGGTAAACTGCAAGTCCGCCTAAGCAAACGTATCAGAATATGTCCCTACATAAAAAATAATAAACACCAAATCCCTAAATGTAGCTAAGACATAGAAACTTTGCTCTACAGCAGTTACCTAAGAACTACAGAGTGCAGAAACATTTCATCAGGCAGTTTTTATATAGTTTTAAGAAATATTTATCTAAAAACAAAAGAAAAAAATGAATTGGAACATATTTTTGAGCAAATATGAAACTGAATTGCCCTTGTAAAAAATAAATGTTTTCTTAATAGCCTATTTGTGCATTAGCTGATGTTGCCTTTTGTTTTCAGAGTCTGTTTGGTGAACTTTATTTCTGAGTGAGCAATTCATTTGCAACCTTCTGCCACATCATAACTAACTGCTTACTGCTTTTATGGAGTAGGCCTGCATTCTCTGCATCTCGCAAAGCTCCCACTGTCTTTTGATAGTCGTGCAAAGTGAAGTCCTGATTCATCAGAAAGATAGTTTATGCTTAACTTGATTACACGAATTATCCCACTGAAGTTGTGAGATCGTTTATGTATGTGAGGCTATTCGCACTGGTCAGAGAACTAAGTAGGATTTAGTTGTTATTACACCATGAGACTCATCATTCAGATCTGTTTCCAGAGGCTGGACATTACTCTGAAATGCTTAGTTTGAGAAAGCATTGAGGGTAAAAAATGGGAGGAAAAAAACCCCAAAATTATGTAGAATTTAAAAAAATATATATCCTATGCAGAATTCAAAACATTTGAAATGTTATTATATTCAGTGTGTGGGCTTTCTGTGAACAGAAACACTGTGTTTTTTGTGTAATATGAACTGTCAACACTGGCACAAAACAATGTAACACCCAACCAGCTATCCATGAATTTCTAAGGTTTCTTTTAGCTGCTTGCTTCAAATTTTTAATTTTGAGTGATGTAAGAGCCATGGTAAACCACACAGTATTTTTTCTAGTTCCCTAGCTTGTTAGACTTATTTCAGGTGTTCAGAAGAATTAGCAAAAGCTATTTTGACTTGTTTTTCCAGAGGGCGTTTCTAAATTTGGTGTGCTTTCTCTGACCCAGGCATAAAAATTCTGCATCTGTGTTATTATCCCAGTGGCCTGTGTTGGATGGGTCCCTGGTGACTGGCTCTTTTGTAAATCACTATAAGCTTGTGAAAGCAGCTGGATGGAATAGTCCTTCTTCCAAGATCTTCCCTCCCTACACACACGCGCGTGCACGCACACACACACCCCCTCCTTACATTTACATGCATT